ACGTCTGCGTAGAATAGGCTGAAGGCGTGTATAAGCTATATTATTGTAGTTTCAATAAAATCCATTCAGTATTTTTTGTGTGAAAGAGTAACAAACATCCATCCATACATACAAACTTTCGCCTTTATAATATTAAAGCAAGAACGCCTTTATAATAAAAATCTATAATTATGGGAGGGATATTCATTTGTTTTCTTGTCTGGTTGAGTTTATAAACAAAAATAAACATATAGATATAAATGTAATACTTACATAAATAGGACCCTACCAGACGGAAACCCTCGGCAGGGGAGACCAAACGGTCGAGTGTTAGGGCGTAAGGGAGAGAAACCGGCGGAAGATGCGGGCGGTATCGAGGAGCACCGCATTGGAGCTTGGAGCGATCCGTCCCGGAGTCCCAGTCGCCTCAGATGTTTGGAGAGGCTGACTGGGATTAACCCATTGGCAGAAACGACTGTCGGGATAATTTCGGCCGGCATACCACCCCACATGTCGGTCACCTCGTGAGCCAAATCCAGATACTTGGTCTTCTTATCTGTTTCGGCTTTCACGACGATTTCGTCATATGGAATGGTAATGTCAACCAAAAATACCCGCGACTGTGCCCGGTCCATCACCACGATATCAGGTTTGTTCGCGACAATCGTCCTGTCCGTGATAATGGGCTGGTCCCAATAGAGCCTGGCGCGGTCATTTTCGAGCACGGCTTCCGGATAGTACTTGTAGTACTATATATACTTGCAGTTTTCGATCCACGAGGCCGTCATTTCAGAGAGAGCTCCTGGTGTAGGATTCTGGCTACTAGGTTGTGTATATGGAGATACTCAGAGTTAGAAAGCACGGAACAACCGGATATAACATGCCCAAGCGACTCCCCGGGTTGGCGACAAGGTCGACAGATGTCTACGGTGCCATCCTTTAAGATGTATCTCCGATAGTTGTTCGTCTTAATAACCTGATCCTGTATCGCACAGACAAAACCTTCGGTTTCGTCAAAGAGGTCACCGAAACGTTGCCAGTTAAGGGAGGCAATATCTAGGCAGTATCTACGAAAGACTCGTGCTGAGCCTCCCGTGGAGCTCTTTCTCCTTCCATACTGTCTCTCGGTCAGAAACGCTCAGTACTCTCGGGTCCTGCCATAGCTAAGGACAGAGGGGTAAGTCCTTTATCACAACTAATGACGTCCGTGCAGATTGACTCATCCGATCTCGCCAGAAAGTAGTTACGGAGGCTGCACACCTCGCGATTGTGCATGGTGAGGGCGCTTCAAAAGCCCCTCCCGCCATGCTTTCGCGACAGGTACAGCCTCATCACTGACGATCTCGGATGATGCATCCTGTGGGCCATCATAGTTATTATTGGTGCCCATCACTATTTTATATGAGAAGGGCAAGGGGCTGGCGGTTCACCCAACGTTAAGAGATAACCGCCGCCCGTGGACAACGCCTTTTGTGTTACAGACGCTTGCCATCTTTAAAATAAAGTGGAGCCCGGCGACCTCACTCACCAGAGGAAACGCAGAAGTATAACACTTCCACTTCACGCCCTTCTTCTGTGAGGTCGTGGTACTTATCCGGCTGGACCTGCCTATTCGTACAACAGTGAAGACTGTTACGTGGCCCTTCCATAGTTATAAGTGCGATAAAAGATAGTAGTTTCTCCCGGTTACCCTGTTTTCAATTTATAAAGGGAGTGAGTTATTAATTTAAAAAATCTTTGATGATAACCGTGTGTTTAGCGATTTATTGCTAGCAATGTTTGGCCCTGAAATGTTTAACATACGTAATGCCAAGGCTCGCCGCTCAGCTGTGGAATCAAACACGTAAAAGAAACACTTTTCTTTATTTAATTTTTTACTAACGTAAGTTTCCCTTCTTTTAATAAGGTATAGTGGGACAGGAACTGAAAGCTAGAGAATGGCGTTTTATAACAATCTTTTCTAATCCTTATATAAACGCGAAATTTTGTATGTATGGATGGATGTTTGTTACTCTTTCAGGCAAATACTACTGAATGGATTTTAATGAAACTTTAGAATAATATAGCTTATACATCAGAATAACACATAGGCTATAATTTATATACATATTTTACGTATATCTGTCTTTCTGTCTGAATGTTACGCCTTCAGCCTATTCTACGCCGTCGTAGTGGCGAGCAGCAGCTAGTGAGAACTAAACTCAAATGCAGTTTGTAGTATCAATTCCATAAAAGTAGTTACAATACAATTATGTGATTACAAACTAAATTACATGCTATCTAACTTGTCTCCCGCCGCATGATAAGTTTGGAACGTATATTTTCCAAAAATGTTGATATGCGGGTACCCCAAGGACCTAAGGTTTCATAAGCAAATGAGACAAATATATAATCTGAATAAAGAGACTCATGCTGGCATATTTACTACCTCTGCCGCCCCGCCCCTGACCGGAGTGTTCCTTAGATTAGAGGCAGCTAAAGTGTCTAAGCAATTCGCATCCGAATCCGAGGACTTTGTTTCTCTACCAACGAATAAGAGTAGCCGTCGGGTCTCTTGCCAGCGTGACGAAAAACGCCAGTGCTTTTATATTAGAAGGAACAGTGATTGAAATAAAATTAAGCATGATGTCGCTCAGGGTACGGTGGCGGGAATGCGTTCAGAACATTTTTATCTACTTTTACGTCACATGGGCATTCGTATGATTGACAAGTCGGTACTCCCAGACGGACTCTTAAAGCAATTATTATTTACAACTAGCTGGCTCGGCAAACGTTGTTTTGCCATATAAATTATTTCTAGATGATTCGGAACGCACGCATAAAGTGCTTACTGACACTGAAAATAAAATTGTGGCTATTTAGATTTTCCATGAAATTTTTCCATAATTTCTCATTGTTTAAACCTTCCCTGGACTGCCACAAATATTTCAAAACCAAAATTTGACAAATCGGTCCAGCCGTTCTCGAGTTTTAGTGAGACTAACGAACAACAATCCACTTTTATATATAAGATTGTTATGGGTTCTTTTGTAATAAATGAGACTTCTAAAGTACAACGTACAAACAGTTTATTTAGGTTACAAGCACAATAAACAATTACGTGAATCTAATTGAAAGAAAACCGATGAAATGATAAGCAAAACCTATTAAATTATTAGCTAACCTTTTACAAGGAAGATTTGCCGTCGTAGATCCATTCTTCTTAGTACATGAACCGTGCCAGTCCTTATCGTCGGTTGCCTAGGCTCCATTAGAATACAATAATTAAAACGCTTTTGTTCCATTGCGAGTACCTGCAAAATATTCGGTTACACGTTTAATGTCAAATACATTCTCGTTCTGATTTCAGAATAAAGACGTTCATTATTGACATAATAGAGGATCGTGATAAACTATATGAAAATGATTGATTTTCGTCTTTGTTACCACTAACAAACTTTTGCATTGCAACTTTTTTAAAACTAGTTCAATATATTTAATAAAGTGACGATTATTATGTGAGAAGAATGTCTCTAAGACTGACTCTCATTCAAACATATTAAAATACATTTTATAATATGTAAAAGAAAACATTTTATGATACAATGTAGTAGGTAAACATTTTAATAATGAGAGTATTTATGAGCATTCTTGTAGTAGTTTTATATATCTCTCATTATTTCAGTACAAATGTACTGAATTATATTATTTAATTTATAGATTTTATATTTAGAAGGTTGTTTACTTGAATATGGTGGTTGGGAATAAAATGTTACATTTGGTTCATTGGTAACAACATTTATAAATTTATTGAAATGAAACTATTTTACTGATTTTATCGCAATTTAAATTTTGTTTTTTATTCCCAAAATTTCGAAATAAACTCTTTTCAGCGTTCATGGTCACGGCACAGACAAGAAGAATAATATCTTTATATATATATATCGTCGATTACAATAATTTAACAATAATTAGTAACTCAACTGATATTGTTGTAACGGTGAGGAGTGAACACCGTGACGAAACGAGTCACGTGATCGGAATCGTTTGGAGGGGGCAACTGTTACGTTTTAAATATGAGCGAGCGGTGAGCCTGAGCTCATTATTACGGAGTTACTCAGTTCATTAGTAAGAGCGATACAGTTCGGATCTTCTAAACGGGACCGTTGGTTCACTTCGGAACTTTGTACTATATTGGTTATCTACATAGAATACAAGAGATATCTTACTGTATCTTTGTGGTTTAATTGCCTGAGACCTATGCCATGAACCCTGCACCAGAAGCTCCTACCGAAGACGGGCATATCGCTAATCTATCACTGTCGCCGACATATACTATATATCTTCTGTATGTGTCACTGAACTCCTCTTAAACGGATTTTAATGAAATTTTTTGTATGTCTTCAGTTAGATTCGGGAATGGTTTAGATTCACAATTCGGTCCAGTACATTGTATTTTGATTTCTAAGTTGTCTAATTTAAGTCGTGTGTACAGGAAAACGTCTGTCCGGTTCGCTAGTACGAATAGCTATCGGTAGATCAATTCGTATCATTATCACTAAATGAGTTTTCGCTAAATATTTAAACTTATGACAGACTTTTACAAGTATTATTTTCATTAATTATGAGTAGGTAATGGATATCGCATACATATTACATTCATCGAATAAGATTTACAACTAAAAATCACTATAACTAACTTAAAGAAAAGAAAGGTAACAAACAACCTATAAATGCCTCACTTCTGGACAAATGCCTCCTCTGTACAGAGGGCATAGTCCACCACGTGGTGCATTTTGTTATTATTTCGAAAGTATGCAGGTTTTCTCACGATGTTTTCCTTCACCGCTGAGCACGTGACAAGTCAGCACTTAAAATTAACAATTTTATTGGGGATAGAACACAGGTTGTTCGAGTACCTATATTGAATTAAGGACGAGGGCCCGGAAACTGAGCTATCACGGCTATAACTAACTTGACATAAATCTACACTTGTTCCCTGTTAGAAACGAAGTGAACTTCGAAGAAAGCACCTCCGGGGAATGTCCGGGCCACCTGCCATACCACCTGCGTCGCTGAAAGACCACGATGCCTGTCCAAGAGCTGGTCCAAGTCCTAAGACCATTCGTGGTCAGCACTATTCCACCATAGAAACGGTGTCAGAACATTATGTTAGAAATATGCGGTCGCCAGATTCTTAGTAATTATGTATTACCAAGTGTACAAGTATCAATATAGTATCATTGCTTTATGACATAGACATAGATCAATGCCTAAACTGTCAAAAGGTTCTAATATTACACAAGCGGAGTGCTTACTCCGCTATACAATTTAGTCAAAGTAACCTTTGTGGTCTTTCTAAAATTTTACAAGGCTTTTGCCCAAATTGGGACGTTGTTATCGTATTTGTGTTCCATTAAATTATACGAACTCCGGGTTTGGTTGGTTAAGGTAAACATTTTCTGGCTCTCCATTGTTGGAAGCCGAGGCAACTCACTCTTCTCTTTTAATATTGAATTAGAGGTGGCTTTAATGTTAATTACATTTCATTTATATTACACGAAATTTATAATTTTTCTTTTTCCCCTTTGGTTAAACAACAAAAACACATTTCAAAAGTTTTGTTTTGTATTGTTTCAGATTAACTAATGTTGGAGACAGTCTTCATATAAATACAATAGTGAGAATATGATTCGGGTGAGTATTTTTTGATATATAAATGTTCCATTAATAATTTCTACATATTATGAAACTTGGATAGATAAATACTTTAATTTTTATATGCTTTTGTAATAGAATCATGAAACAGATACATAAATATAATATGTGGCACAGAAAATCTTAAGACTGATAAAATACCAGAATTCATCCGTATTGTTGTCCTCTCCTCGATTAGAAGAAATGCTTGAGTGAGTATAAGCCAAATTGAGGTGGGCAGCATACCCCTCGACCGATGCGGCTGTTCATGGCTCCCGTGGATTCGTAAATGCGGCAACGTGTTGCGACAGTGGCGAGCACGCGTGCGGGGCACATCGCGATGAGTGGGCCGAGCGTGGGGCGGTGCGCGCGCGCGGGTGCGCCGCGGGAAGCGTGATGCGCAGGGGCGCGCGCGTAGCCTGCGGCGCGTCGCTCGCGCCCGCGCCCGCTCCCGCTCTCGTCCCAGCTCGGTGCGCGTGATGCGCGCGGACCGCGCCGCGCTGTACGCGTGGCTCGTCTGCTGCGCCGCCGCGCTCCCCTCCCACAAGTACAGTACGCGCGTCGTGCGCACCAAGTACGGCCCGCTGCGCGGCATCGTTGTGCACTCGCACCCACAGGTGGAGGCCTACCTCGGTGTGCCGTACGCCACGCCACCTCTCGGCAGTCTCAGGTGTGTTGACGTTTTTGTGCATCAGCTTGCATTGTTAGGTAGATATCCCACCCAGATTTTAGAGCCCCAATGTTTAGAGGTCTTAAAACAAGTAGCAATATAATTCAATTAAATTTATATGAATATTACAAAAAAAAAAAAAAAGGAGATACGTGAAATTTATCGGTGCACATTGACGTGATTTGAAATCTTGACCATACACCATATATCTTACGTTATGCGGATGCACAATGCAATAAAGGTTTCAAGTCTCTTAACCTTAATGCAGTAGGCAGAAATAGTATGTGATGTATGACTATTTACTAAATAATGCAGTTTTGCTCGGTTCTTTGTGTTGTTCGCTTAATTGTAATATGTTCCATTATAATTCTTTCGGAGAAAATTTCGTTCTTTCGGAGAACCTTGAGATTCATGAGATTCTTGTGTTCAACCGCTTTTAACAGTGTGATTACCGTAACAGATATATGCCGCCGGTGACGCCATCACAGTGGCGGACGACGCGCCTTGCGGACGCCATGGGGCCGGCCTGCCCTCAGTCTCCTCCTGCAGCTTCGCCCCACGACGATGCATTATTGATACACCCTCGTGCGAGGATCCGACAATTGGAACGATTACTGCCAATGCTCGTTAATCAGAGCGAAGACTGCCTCTATGTCAATCTTTATGTTCCTACGAATGGTGAGTACGATATGATAATATCTTTTAGAATAAGTACTGTGCTTTAGATGTTTTAAGCACAACAAACTTTATATTATTCGATTATCTATCGTGCGTAGGTAGCATTTTTATTTGAAATATGTCTAATCCATAGTACAACAAAATACTAATTTCGCTCCATATTTTATTGTATTGCTTATACAGTGTGATTTGCCAAATTAATTTATTGTAGGAAATGGAAATACATAGACTCATATCGCAATTAAAGCACCCTTCATTGTTGTTCATTTCGAAGTTTAAAAGTGAAAAGGTAGAAATTGTTTGCAGCAGATTTTATTTCCAAATACAAAGGTGTATTGCAACGCTTTCGTTTTCCTTTTAGTTTCGTTTCTATCACGCTCGCATCCCACTCGTTGCACCTCGTTTGTTATACTTTTTTCTGATGTCGTGGTGAATTAATTTCAGTGTGGAACAATAAAAATACTATTTATCTGTTACCACGCTATTTGCTATGCCCCGTTGTGGTGATCGTTAATCTTTGGCTTCGTTTCATGCTATATTCATTCAAATTTAGTGTTCATAAAACCAACCACAGTTAAAATATGCAGGACCACGTCTCTGCTATAAATATGTTACGCTATGCTTTATGAATGACTTAATGAAAAATCTTGAATTGTATGTTCTTTTCACAATTATTAAGTATTAATTATTAAGTATATATATATATATATATAGATTTACAACGTTAGGTATGTGTTTTATTTGTGCAAAATATACGTGTAATTTCATTTGAGAAGCTACAGTTTTGTTTGCTTTGTAATTTAGCAGTATTGCTTTGTCCTGTGCGAATGGTGATATGTAAAACAAAAGGATTGTCAAGGCGGAAATCTGAAGGCACGTTTGCGACAACGGGACTGGAAACTGAAACAGCGGCTGAGAAGGGTGTTGAGGCCTCAATTCCGTAGTGCATTGCAGTGCATCATGCCCCCTGCAAGCAGTGCGGAAGTGAGGCTGAGACAGTCTATAGCTACGTATCAACGGAAGAAGAAAACTCATTGTGTAATTTGTGTATACCATGGCAATAGTTTGCTTCGTCTTTGATTACAGTATTTGTATTAATAGTTTATATTCCAGCGTTGCTATTCTGTTTGTTTTTATTACAATTTTTGATTTTTCTTTTTGCTAATAAATATGCATATTTATACATGTTTATATTAGAGGTGAAAATAATAGTATAATCTTTTTGATGTTTAAAATTTAATGACGAAACAGAAATGAAATCCATTTTATAACAGGAGCGGAAGAAGGAATTGAAGGTGATGGTCTACCGTGCCTAGTTTTTGTACACGGAGAATCGTATGAATGGAACTCAGGAAATGCCTACGATGGTACGACGCTGGCTGCGCATGGAAATATCATCGTAGTTACTATCAACTTCAGGCTGGGTGTATTGGGTAATTGTAACATGTTTTCTTTATTGTAGAATATTTTTCATTTTAACAATTACTCAAATTAAACTTAATTGTGTGTTCAATAAATAAATTGACAATTTTTTTATAATTTCATGAATACTTTTATCGGTGGCATGGCCCCGCAACAGCTTCTGATGTTTCATGAATGGGAAGGCGCGTCCGGGGAAGTACCATGGTCTCACAAGATCGGCGTATAAGTATTACTCTTTCACGTTTCATTTGGTGAATGAGGTAACCAGGCCCTCTTTTTTTAAAGGTTGTCAACACATCTGCATTCGATTCGTCGGTTCCAATCTCACGCAGGATAACTATTTGTGTGACCCTAGTGGAGATAGGTAATTGTTCCGAATCTGGATGTTTGTTCCCAAAGAATACATAACTAATGTTGTGTTCACGTGTTGCGCTAAACCCATCCAAGTGGGATAAGGTCAGAAGAAAAAAGATGAAGAGCTCGAATGTGCCTTTTTCCATAAAAAACATGCCTGTCGTAGTTTTTAATGTCCATTTACTAACATATTCAAGTAAATTTTAACCATCTCAATATTTTTTAAATATCCTACAGGTTTTTTAAAAACTGGTGCTAAAGGATCAGCACAGGGTAATTTTGGCCTTATGGACCTAGTCGCGGGTCTCCACTGGTTAAGAGAAAACTTACCCGCATTCGGGGGAAACCCAGAGCGTGTCACGGTTATGGGGCATGGAACTGGCGCTGCACTTGCCAACTTCCTCTCCGTCTCACCAGTGGCCAGAGGTTTGTCCATTAATTGAAAAAAACCTTTTTCGGAACAAGTCTAAGCGCTTCTATTATGCAATGCCTATTCGTTGTCGTTCATTTCAATCATTTGTTTTTTAAATACGTTATTGCACTTAAGCCTGCTGTAATTATATGTTCTATATACGGTTGAAAGATGATAATACGATTTAACAATTTTACTTATAAAGTCTCAATTTAGCACAACGAAAAAACGTTCAAAAAACATGATATGTTTAGAAGTAACTTTGGAATCATATATCAAATTTTAGGCTTTTCTTAATTTAAGTGAACTCAAGATTAGTCGCCGCTTAGCTTAGTTGGCAAAGCGCGCCGCAATGTTCTTTGTAAGGTTTTGCATGCTGTAAAGGATACGAGCAAGATAGCGCCAAGCAATGCTAAAGTGCAATAAAAAGAACGTACATAAATGTTGAGACTTTCGGTCCATAAGCTGAGTTGCTAAAGGTTGGGTGCGAATCTGGAAGAGGCAGGCTCGAATCCCGCAATGGCGAAAGTTTTTGTTTATTTATTTTCAAGAATGTTTTAGAATAAAATTGCCTTGAATTATTGTCAAAAGTAGGTAAAAGCTTCATGCACACAAGGAACTTACTGATGGAAATGAATTTTCCCATCGAAACATACTTTTGCTAGTTTATTTTGCCTTGAACGTAAGATTGCGTAACTTGTCTTCATTAACTTTTAGTTCAAATGATATAATTGATGTTTAACGTGAATTTGTTAGAAAATTTCTTTGATTTCTTTTCCACCTGTTTATGAATCTTCAAAGAGGTTTAATTTTAAATTGATAGCAAGACTTATGTATCCACAGAGTTTCATTGATTTCACAATTACGTTCGACATTACTTCGTACAACTTTGTTTTAACAAACTTTCTTTTAACAAGATTTGGATTCGAAAAACACTAATGAAAATTAATGGTGCTAGGTGCTAGTCATTTTAATGAGCTAAATTTGTTGATTTTATTATTAATATTACAATACTATTTATATTACATTATGTTTTAGCACTGAAAATTACTTTATATATATTAAGAATAAATGCAAACCATAAGCCATATTGTAGGTAATAACAATTAATCCTCATGCTATTGGTCACTAAATGGATAGATAGATGTCGAGTTTAATAAAGCCGAGGTACGGCCCTCTCGGTCACCCTCGAATCGGAATGCCAAACGGATAGGTGGTAACAGTCCAAGCCGAAGTCCCTAAGAGTTTGGCGGTTTCCCAAACCGGTAATCATAATAATAGCGTGACGGTCCGAGCCCAGGCGCCCTGGGGAGCCCTCAATCTTAGTCACCCATAAACGAGATACCGGCCTCAAACCCGGTGGATCTGTGAACCTCCTCAAGCCCAACAGTGGTCGATCCAGGCAAAAATAAAAAACCAAATTAAATTTTATTTTGTATTTAAGCGTATGTATTATATATCAACGTCAACGCTGGATTATACTTGAGCATAAGTATAAGACACTGATATTAATCGAGTAACTAAGATTTGGACCTGCGAAAGACTGTTCTAGACTAAAATTGCGAATTAATGTCTCATCTTCTAGACCACCTAAGTTTTTAATATTTGAGATAAACGAAGAAAGAAAACAGATTAAAAAATAAAATAGTCTCAAATAGAAATGTAAAACAGTCCGTTCCAGTAAATAAATCAACTCAACACAAGTCGAAATGCGGATAACGTTACCTCAGTGAATCTTGCTCTAAATGACGGAATCAAATTAGGTTTTCTGTTACAGAACTACTGAAGCGCGTCATCTTGTTAAGCGGGTCGGGGTTGAGCTCTTGGGCTCTGCAGAGGGAACCGCTCACGATAAAAAGAAAGGTAAATAGCGTGCCGTTTAAAAGCATATTTAGTGTAAGCTTTCTAGTGTTGGCATAAGTTGTTCAAATAAATTAAAGTTTTCCAACCTTTTCAGACTTATTTAGAGCTTAGTAATACAGAAATGAAGTCTGTTAGGATTCATAATTTATTTATACTTTTCACAGCGTAATATAAAATGTAGAAGTAAATGCAGTTAATATTTTAGATGTATACAAGTTTTAAATACATAATTATTTCGTTTTTGTAAAAGTAAAGTTAAATAACAGCCTGTACATTTCCCACTACTGGGCAAAGGCCTCTTCTGTACAAAGAGTATCAGAGCATAGTCCACCACGCGGCCCCACTGCGAATTGGTGGACTTAACATATCTTCGAAATGTATTTTTTGTTATCATTTCGAGAATATACAGGTTTTCTCACCATGTTTTCCTTCACCGCTGAGCGCGTGATAAGTCAGTACTTATTTAAAATAACAACTTTATTGGTAATCCCTCGGGGATCGAACTCAGGTTGCTAGAGTATATTGAATTCAAGGCGAGCGCTCGGACACTGCGCTATCACGGCTATTTGTTTTTGTATTAAGATATAATTTTAAATACTTTTATATAAAAATATGATTGTTAACAGCAGCGAATTTCTCGAGCAGGTGGCAGAGCAGACTGGTTGCCATGGAGATTTGCTGGAAGATGATTTAGCCCCTTGCCTTCGAAAACTTCCTCTAGCTGAACTTCTTGCAGTGCGCCTCGATCCACCACGCTTTTTACCTGGTTTCGCACCATTTGTCGACGGAACTGTTATTGTAAATCCATCTTCGGTAAGTAACAACGTTAACTAGTAGTAGTAACTAGTACTAGTAACTTTTATTCTCTAAATGAAGCGACTGTAAAGCATGCTATGCTATTACAGTCGCTACAGCAACAACTTTGTATTTACACAGCAATAACTTTGCATTTTTTATCGTGTTATTTGCTCTTTCCGATTATTGTTTATTATGTTAATTGTAATCAGTAAACGTCTTTTGCTTTCCACAAATTAATTAGCCGTTAACAAACGGTGATAAAAATGATGCATTATAAACCATTAAATACTTTGTAAAGCAAGGGTTGAATAAATTATGAAACAATTTAAATAGGCTCCCCCTTCGACGGATAGTACAAGGCTAGGTGCAGGGGCCGCGGCGGTGGCTAACGCAGCCGGTCACGAGTTAGCAGATTTTTCTCATAGGGAACTCCTATTTGGGCTTACAACGACAGGTAATAAGTAGATTTTTTATATTGTTTCTATTCTTTTTTAATGTAAAAAGTGGCAAGTTAGATGGCTGTTCACCTAATGTTAAGTGATAACTCCTGTCCATAGACATCTGCGACACCCGTGGGGTTGCAAAAGCGTTGCCACCTTTTAAAAGCGGGCCTGGGATACCTCACTCACCAAACGAAATGCCGAAGTATAACACGCTTCACACTGGTCTATGATTGTTAGGTTTGCTTAGGGCTATTTGTATATTTACGGTATATACCATAAAATATATTGTTAAGGGTTAAACATTATGTGTTATCTTATTAAAATGTATACCTAGTAAATTACTGTCATAATGTTTTTATAAGTACTTTAGGACAAAAATTTTATTCAATTCATGTCATTTAAATATGTTGGTGAACCGTTTCGCAAAATTTATGCAAATAACAGAAATTCTCTTACTTGTAGAATCTTACTTGGAATTCAATGCTCAAGACTTGGAATTCGGTTTCAACGAAAGTCGACGGGACCGCATTCTTCGTACATTTGTCCGTAACGCCTACTATTATCATCTTAATGAAATTTATTCCACTTTGAAAAACGAGTATACGGATTGGGACAAGCCTGTGCAAAACCCTCTCAGTGTTAGAGATGCTACTCTTGAGGTAAATTAATTAACCTATACGTATTCGATTTTTGAATTTGATCATTCGTTTTTGCATTATTTGGATTTTTTTTCCGGTAAAAGCAAATAAAGCTCCAAATCTGCCATGTAATGTGACAGCGACTTTTCTATTGTTTTGGCAATTACGTAAACTGATATTCCTGTTGAGGTTAATTTAAATCTCAAGAGGTTTATGCGACATTCATTGACAACATTACATACAAAAGGAAGTAATGACACTCTCGCGAACTGAATACAAAATAGATGCTTCAAAAGACTGACATACCCTTGATATTGTGTAGTTGAAATTAAAACGTAGATTGATTTATCAAAGATTTATATCATTCTCAAATATTTATGATGAAATGTGTCTAAACATGTTAGTACTAGTCTTTGCAATGAATTAAAAACACAAAATAAAACATATTTTTAGGACAAAGAGGAAAAATACTTATAATACCGCGCAAAAAATCACATTTTATATGATTTTTTTTTTACTTTGTTTAGATTCTTAGTGATGGTAGAACGGCAGCTCCTTTAATAAGACTCGGTTATCTGCACGCACTCAGAGGTGGTACAACCTACTTTACGCACTTTCATCATCTTTCTCAAGAAAAGGACTATCCGCAGGTATGTTTCTCAGCCTATATTTAATGATATAATAACACTGTGATTTTTTTAATTTACATTTCGGCAAATTCTTCATAAATAAATTATTGTACATGAGAAATTTAAATGTTTTATTTGCCACCTGTAAAATCATTTTATTATTTTTAGCCTAAAATCAAAATTTGGTTAAGTTTGCTGTATTGCAAATTTATCAAAGTTTTTAATACAATTTCATTTTGTACAAATAGCGATAGTGCAAATTTCTTTCATGATATTTAAGCAAAGTTCTGCATTAGATACATATTTATGTAATTTGCGGTTGCCAGGTGATGGAGGCTGAAAGAAAATGTTTCCTAAAGTAAAAGTTGTATAAATGAATATACTGAGAGTACATTAAATCTTTCAGCGGCCGGGATCCGTACACGGAGAAGAATTACCATATTACTTAGGTGTGCCGCTGGCTCAATTTCATCATCAACAGAACTTTACGCAGCAGGAACAACGAGTCTCAAGGATTTGCATGCATTACATTTCTAATTTTGTGCGGCACGGGTAAGACTTTACTACTTTATTGACAGGAAAGCCTTCGTTAAAACAGGTTTGGATATGTATAAAATATAAGTAACTTCATATTTTAAATCCTTATGGTGGCTTATAATTCATGATAGTATTGTTATATCTCGATCTGGTATCAACGCCCACTTGTTTATTTATCGTCGTCTCTGGAATATACTGTACTAAGGTCGTAAATAAATAAAAATGTCTTTTGTCAGTTGTATGAAATCATCTAAATTATGTTCAAACAAATAAAATGAGAAAAGAATTTGTTAAGTCAATTGATATCTTTTTTTATGGAAAAAGGAGGCAAACGCGCATAGGGTCACCTGATTTCCCACTGATGAATCTCAACAGTCCTCAATTGTATATATTAATTTTAATATTTATGTTATACATAAAAATGTTTCATAGTACATACTAGAATATTTGAATAATACTTGAAAATTTATAATATTTGAATGCAACAGCAATCCAAATGACCCGTCGGCTACTCCTCCTCCAAGTACGTTGTTGGGTGAAACGCCGCATCTTGGTCCAGATCAAATGCTTTATTGGGACACATATGATACAATCAATCAGCTTTATATGGAAATAAGTAAGTCACGCCGATTATATGACAATTAATTACGATTTATAAGAGTATGTAAAGAACGAGCAGGTGCTTTATTTAATGTAAAAGTGATAACATGAATATTTAAAACTCCTGCAAGACCTAAAAAAAGTTGAGCTCCGATTAACTGATCCATTAGGTGAAATACTAAGGTATAAGTTTTTTTATGTGAGGATGTGGCAAGGGAGCTGATGTCAAGTGATAACCGCCATCCATAGACATTTACAACAACCTTTGGGTTGCAGATGTGTTACCACATTTTAATATAAAATCCCCGTCCTCGGATACCTCACTCACCAGATGAAACGCAGAAGTAGAACAATTCCACTTCACGTCGGTCGCTGTACTTCCTCGAACGGAACTGTCTATTCGTGAACTGTTGTGTGACACTACCACAGTTAGAATTTATATATAGAAAGTAAGTATATAGAGCAAAAGTCTCTTGGTTGTTCGACCTTAAGCTGTACGTTCGAGTTATCCTTACAAGGCTGGCTCCTTCCAAGTAGCAGATTTCATAGAACTACGCAGTAGGCCTAGTTCTTTTACAAGCAGCTGTTGTGTGACTCTGTCCCACACTGTATCAGAGTAAAAATGTATATTTATATTCTTAAATTTTCATATTTTAACAAATTAGGTGGTAAGCCGGAGATGCGGAATCATTATCGAGGCCATAAGATGTCACTGTGGCTGTCGCTTATACCGCAACTGCATCGTCCCGGGTCTGATATGCCTGATGCAGCTATGCGACACCATCACTTTCAAGATGACAATGCTAATTATTATGAAGGTGGGTACCTTTACCCAAAAATATTTTAATATCTTTTTAATCTTAAGGACTAATTTATTTTTATTTTTTTTCCACTCACATAGGAGCAGTCAGACCACAGTCTATGTCTAGAGCTCATGTACCACACGTTGTCAGTATCGATAATCCTGCGCGTGGCGAAGGTCGCAGTACAGTTAATCCTCGTTCTGGAATGCCTAAACCATCACCAGCTCCAACAGTTATTTCTACAGAGTGCCCACCTAATACAACGGTTACCCCCTTGCAACCTGATGATGCACTTCTTCGTCGTCTTGCATCCTCTCATTATCAGTCTTACACTGCTGCACTAACGGTAACCATTGCTGTAGGATGTTTTCTTTTGCTATTAAATGTTCTTATCTTCGCCGGAATTTACCATCAAAGAGGATCACATTCAAGAAGATCTAAAGATGACCTGGGTGAAGCAGGAAGTTCATCTTCCTCCGACAATTATGATGGGAAATTAGATTACGAAATACGGGCTTATGATGGAAAAGGGTTTGGTTTTGACTGTAAATCAGTTCACGTATCTCGGAGCTTAAGCTCTAAGTACGATTTACGGACGTTATCAGATTGCGGAGAACCAACGTTTGGAGAGTATAGCTGTTATGACGAAAAGCATCGAGCTGCCCGTAATTCTTTACCAGATGTCAGTGTAGGTAGTGCAATTGAAGCAGGGAGTGTTGTGTGTATTGATACACAAAAACCGGATATACAAAAAGTAGAAGGGCGACTACAAGATCCAGTAGGAAGAACTAGTACGTTTGAGCCTCGTGTAGTAGATAGTTCTACACAAGTAAAATTTGGTCCAGTACCAGATTCAGAGGCAACTTCGGAATCAAATGGTGAATCTGAAACAGGAGCCGCATCTGGTTCTGGAATTTTAAGAGCCCCTCTAACAAACACTACCCCATTGCCTCCGGGAATTATGAAGAAAAGAGTGCAAATACAGGAAATATCTGTGTGAGTTTTTCGGGTTGCCCCTGAGGTGATGGTAAACAAAAGGACAAGATTGTGATTTTGTGTCAGTAAAAAACTATTGTAAATACAATCGTGTAATAGCGCCATTTTATAGTTATGTGTAAATACTGTAAACATAGTAGTTGTAATTACGATTGAGAAATATCAAACTTGAGATCGCGTTGTCTTTTCTGAGTGCAATTTGTAAATGTACATACATATATTCAGAAGATAGATATAATTAGAAAATGACTGTTTGTAATATTTCAGTTATATCTTTGGTAGAATTGAAAAGATAAGAAAATAACAGCATGTAGCAAATGAACGTATATGCATGACTCTTCCTTGTATCGATAGATGACATGTATTCTTTGTTCTTACGAAAATGTTAAATAAAACCTACAAAAAATTGTTTCCTGTATTTACCAATAATAAGAAAATGTATTGTAGGTATTTGTAAACATACAAGACATTTTAATGAATGTGAATATTACAATAACTTAATAACCAAAGACTTATTGAAACCTACATAATGTGTATATAATTTTATGATAAAAAGTGTTTCAAGTGAATGAAATAAACCAACTTAAATTGCATACATTGTGACTTTTGTAAATTTAAGTGGAATGTATTAATTTGAAGTAGTTTTTGATAATTAAATATTTAAACCTAGCAAGACGAGTCTACGACATTTGGACGAGTACACAATAATGATACCCGAAAATCGTTTTCAGTAAAATTTTAAAACGTTTAATTCATATGGGACACAGGGTAATAGACCACAAAAATTACAAGAAGGACGGAGAATAAATGACAACAATATAACTGAATTAGCATTATTTTTTTTATAAACACTGAACTACAAAAATAAAATGGGTTAGCAAAAATCCATTCAAAAATCATGTTTGTTACGGACTTTTTTTCTAAAATAACTGATAATGCTTGCACCGTACTCGTCCAAAGTTTGTTTTCACGGGAATTGATAATTTACATTATCATAATTTTGATTTATTCCTTTTTAAATATGTGTTGTATCCACATTGTGACAAAATGTGAATTGATTTAGTAATAGTAATTATTTATTAAATATATATCGATGGACCCACATAAATATTATGGAATTGATGTAATAAAAAGGGTCAATACTGTTAATTCACTGTAAATTTTCCTAATCATAGATAGTACGTTTGACAGAGTTTAAACTATCAATACGTTAATTAAGTTTAACAATGTTATATTTCCTTGAAGGAATTGTATTCAGTGTATTTACTTCTTGTTTCTAAATGAGTATACTCTGTTTTAAATACAAAAAGTTAATTGAAAGCCAATTTTTCGTAAAAAGAACGGAGGTTTTTCTCATTGTTGCGAAAACCTTTTTAACATTCTGTCAATGAAAACCTTGTTTCATTCATGTTTATCATACTTGGGTTCTAAGTAGATAGGATTTATCTATTCAAACGTTGAATTTTAAAAGGGTCGTGAATTTTTTTCTTAAAGTTGTTATTGTTTACTACACACATGAACAGTGAAGCATCTCATTTCCTACCATTGTGTCTTCATATAACATAAATTAAATTTTTGAGATATTTATGACTATCATAATTTGTTTCGTTTTTGCGGTTTTTTGAGATTTTTAATTTATTATATCTTAAAATTATTTAACTTATCCTAACTCAATAATGAAGTAATTTTAAATCTAACCTTTTAAACGTGATATGTAAATTAAAAAAAAATTAAATTCTGTTTATAATAATTAATTATACAATTCTGTACCAAGTGTAAATCTGTGCATCGTAAGAAATATCAACATTTTGTTACAATTTGGTGTTCTCATGAAGTGCATTGAATGTCATATAAATTTTTGAAAAACAATTCATTTGTTTTATTTAATTAACAAATGTCATAATTGAAAAGTCGTTCAGAATTACACAGGAATAAACAAATGTATAATTACAAAACATTACACATTGAACTATAAAACAAGTTATCTTGTCTCTTATTTCAACAACATCGAAAATGTGTATAACTTCTTCGGTAAGGAATTATAACATAAAAATCGTCATAAAATTATTTCGGAAATCATTTATGAAATAACTCGCCTATAAGTAGATAAAGAAAAAAACAAATTTAATTATTGTTCCTACTACGGATATAAAAAAATCGTTGAAAAAGTTATTCAAGCTTAAAACCGGAAACATATTGATTTTCAATTTTTTTCTTAAGCGGAAAAAAGCCCCATCTTTTTGCCGTCATGGTTGCGATATGTACAGTTTCGGGAAAATAATTTCTTGTTGATACTTTTTATCTTCACTTTTGTTAACGATAATATTGTAAGCATTTACGAGTAACTGCAAAATAATTGTTCTTTCATTTGGATATGTGAGTGAGGGCGGCATATACCGAACAAGCCGAGCGAATGAAGTGGACCGCGAAGCCTTCAAATTGAATTTTAAGCATGCAATTTGTTTGCCTGGTGCCGCCTGTACCGGGTTATATCAACGCAGGCGTAACACAGCGAATGTTTTCCGGTCAGATAGGATTTTTATGAATTTATTATTCACATGTATGTGCTGTTCCGCGATACAGCCCTTTTAGACGTGGTAAATTGAGAATACGGTTTGCTATTTCAATGACTTACTGTTTTCTTCGAGAAAACTTTTATGTTCTATTTATGCCGGGAATAGGCCGTAAGCTAAGATAATATGTGCAGCTCTTCACAACTTTATTTATGGGATGAAAAAAAATGCCATAATACTGAGAAAAAGGAGTTCACTACACTTGGGGCAAGCAAATGCTGGTTATTCATTTAAATAAAAATTATACAATAAAATATCTGAAATGATTACTTCCGTAAAACATCTCAGATATTTTATTATTTATCCAGCATTTATGATTTAGTTACTTTGTTTAATGTTTTTGCTTAAAAATGTTTGATATCAATAACATTTTTTTTATTAAAACGTGTAGAAAAACATTTTTTTGTAGAAAGACATTTTTTGTTTCATTCTAATTCCGACTAAATGCTCTGTGACTTGTAATAACTTACACAGTATACTTTCTTTCTTTCTTCTTTACTGCAATGCATGTTTCCGATGCTTTAAAAGTACAAATAGGTGGTATGTATTTCATGAAAAATGTTAAACATCATCTTCGAAAAATCTGTATTTTCACAAATTATGGAATCTAAATACGATTATGAGTAATTTGCTTTCCATTATGCCTCCTAATTTACATTATTAACGATGGTGTTAGGTTATAATATGTTTTCCTTTCTGGTCCCGTGAGTGTCGTAACAAGCACGGAGGGGCTGTATGGCGAAATAAATATAGGAATCGTTCCTAAAAACGTTATGTATTGCAGAACCGTATTATTCTGAAAAAAATAGAGATGATTTAAAAAATTTCTTTATTTCAAAGTTTAGAAATAAACTTCTTCGTTATGTTGAATTTTGTGTTTAACTATGCAACTCACATTCAATTAACGCCTGTTATATTGAAAATTTCTTAATTATTTCTTAATAACTTAATGCTGAGAATTTTTTTTTATTAACAAAAAACAAAACTGACTTCAAATATCTATACAAATAATCTAAGTTTTAATGCAAGATAAATTTGCAGACGTGATTTCGTTTTCTAATGTAAATGTTAAAGAATGTTAAAGATTTAAATCAAGAACTATTGATAAAGGTACCTTCAATCAATACGATGATTTAGTGTAATTATCGGGACATAAGGGACCTATTAATCGCAAAGAAAGGTCCCATAGAATTGAAGAACGATAAGAAGTAAAAATTAATTAAAATTATTAGCAAGGTTGCAATGTAAATAGACCTGTAACAGATGTGCATGCTGACCACAAGCCAAACAATAAGAAAAGTGAAGAGTAGAGAGGTCGGGCCTAGTCTAAATTGTCAATAAACATTAAGCCAGCGCTCTTCGAGCTTGCTCCTATCGAATAATTAACAAACTTCCGCGATTTTCGAGTTTGTAAATTGCCTCATGGTCTCGTCGAGCCGCGCTCTGGTTTGTTGAAATAAATTATGTGCGCTATAAATTAATCTCAGTATTCTTAAAAGCTCCTTCATCTGCCAGGTCCTGTTGAACCATTCACAGATTCAATGTTAGTTTAAATTTTTCGTGGAAGTGAATAAAGTGATAATTCCGCATTGACACAATTTCAATGGTTTTTTAACCACCTTAAATGTAATATGGTAAAAGTAATCGTCTTACATATAAAAATGGATTGCTGTTCGTTAGTCTCGCTAAAACTCGAGAACGCGTGGACTGATTTGGCTAATTTTGGTTTTGAAATATTTTTGGCAGTCCAAGGAAGCTTTAAATGATGAGAAATTATGGAAAAATTCGAAATAGCAACAGTTTTATTTTCCCATACAAACTGTACCTGTCAACTATGTCTGTGTAACCTGTCAAACATTATGCATGCGTTCCGATTCCTCTAGAAATATTTTAGGCAAAACAACGTTTGCCGAGTCAACTAGTTGTAAATAAAAACCAATTTGAAAAGATCAATAAGCGTCCAGCTTTGACATTTTTCCTAAAAGGGCTCAAAGTGGAAGCTAACAGAATAACATGGAATTACTTTTTTGCCAACACTGCTTTTTGTGTTCGATGTTGACATATATGGCTGCCACGTGTGGATTTCAGTCGCTTTTAAATTTTTATCCAGGATAAGAAAA